TTGGTGTCTCTCCAATTTAGATACAAGGAGGACTTGTGGGACGGTGTCTGCACTTGTCTTGCTTCTGCAATGTTATTTTCACTTAAAAAAGAAAACACCTTTGGCAATAAATTTGAAGAATTTCCTGAAACATTTTTGCTTGTTAAGATATTTGTGGTGCAGCTTAACTCCAGTAAAGAGGTAATGTTGATGTAGGTCTGAGTCTTTGCTTTCAAATACGATGAGCACACTGAAAGCCTTGCTGCCTGGCAAACTAATAAGCCCTGCTGAATTTCTGCAGAATATTAGGAACAGGGACGTACTGGCGGTTAGACCTGAACGAGAAGGAGAACTCATATCAGTTGCTGGCACTAGTCAGAGGACTTCACTGTATTTGTTCCCAGAGTATTTTTGTTCCCAGATACTCTGTAGAGCTGAAAACAGTCTTTAATTGAAATTTTCTTTCTGCAGCCCCAAAACATGTTGAAGTACATATGCAGATCTCTAAAACAACACCGAATACAGGAAGATGTTAGTGCTGAGGAGAAACAGCTTTTTCCACTGACCATGATGCTGGGCCATTTTTGTTTTACAGTGTGGATCCCCTCAGGAGAGGAGCTTAACACTCTCATGATGGTATTCCTGGGGTTCAGACCCAGGACCCTGATGCTCATGTCAAATTTCATACCACTTGCTCATACAGAAGGAAAACAACATACAAAGAAAGCCCTAAGTGATGACGTATAAAATGGCTTTGTGCTCTCCCTTGTGTTGCACACATAGAAGGGAATCCTTTCTTTCTCAGGCTCAACAGCACCCCTGTTTATTTTTTATCTTCTCCACTTCCCCTTGAATTGCTTCCATTATGAAAGCAATCGCTGCTTTTTCTTTTTATAGGCTCTCTACTAACAGTTTATTCAGTTCATTAGCACAATTGCTGCTTTTTGGGTTTCTGCTTTCCAAAAAAAATTATCTCATCCCTCTGCAGATGTCTGTAATGTAAATCATCAGAACAAGGCTGGCTATACCCCCATCATGCTTGCTGCGCTTGCAGCTGTGGAAGCAGAGAAGGACATGAGGATAGTGGAAGAACTGTTCAGCTGCGGGGACGTGAATGCTAAAGCCAGCCAGGTCAGTCAAATGGCTCAGGAGACACTGTTCACGCTCTTGTGTCTTTTTATCTTTCCTTCCATGCTCCCATCCCTGCTCCATTGGTTCAGCTTTCGCACTCATCCACTTTCACCCTCTGCAGTCTTTGATGTCTGTGTGTATGTTTTTGATTCCTGTATACAAAATGGAGCTGTGGGAAAACAGTTGAGCTTCAGGTCTGGGTCTTATCTAAAAATGAGGATTGAATATTACGTGAAAGAACCATTACTGAGTTTTGGGATGCATTTACAAATTCTGCACCATTTAGCTTCTTCTAGGGAACTCCAGGTGTCGGGAAATAGATAAGCTATCTTCCACTAATTTAATAAATAGCTGTGTGAATGTGGGATGTATCATGTGTAAAAGATATTTAAATAATAGCAAGCAGGGCCTTGACTATGCTGCATAAAATAACAATCTTTTAATTTCCCCCCTCCCCAGAAGAAGCACTGCCAAAAAAAAGTATGCGTGCTTTGCCAGTGATTGTCTGTGTATTTATTTCAGTTCTCCTTTTCTTTCCTCACAGGCTGGACAGACTGCACTGATGCTAGCTGTAAGTCATGGGCGGATAGACATGGTTAAAGCTTTACTGGCCTGTGGTGCAGATGTCAATATCCAGGACGACGAGGGCTCAACAGCTCTGATGTGTGCTAGTGAGCACGGACACGTAGAGATTGTCAAACTTCTGCTGGCTCAGCCTGGGTGTAATGGCACCTTGGAAGACAATGTGAGTTGCCTTTCCAGATGGCGCTTCATCAGATGGCTTCTCCACTCTGGAATGTTTTTCTAATTCAGGTTTTCTTGATTCAGTGGAGAATTGCTGAAATCTAGTTACGTGAATCTCTGACTCACAGTGCCAGAGTACCAAGTGCATGAATGCTCTGCTTAGTGATAGCAAAAGCTGTGATTATTTGGCTACTATCTTTGCTTTGGAAACAGACCTACCCAGTAGCAATTTCTATGGTTAGCTGTAGGTCTGCAGGGGCCAGAACAGAAAATAACATTTTCTAGCTCATGGTGAAACATCATTCCTTCTCACATTCCTTCCCCGTTTCTCAGTAGTCTTCCAATTTTCAGTTAGGACTTTATCTGGTGACTTAACAACCATGCTAGGTTCCTTTTCTGTGTCCATGCCAAGCATCAACCCTACAGTTCTCTTCACAGGATGTTCACAACAACATCTCCATCATGACTTACTTAGAGTAACAGTTTGGTCTCAGTCATGAAGCTACATTGTCCTGACAGTAAACAGATACAGGCTGTGACTTCAGTGCCAAGTGGGACACTCATATATTTCTTGTTTGCAAGGATCATTACAGCCAACACTGCCAGCAGACAACTTGATCTGTATACTTCTTAAGCTTGAAAATAGTGACTTAGCTGATTTCTTGCCAGTAGTGTGTTCTTGTTAACAACATGACTTCTTAGGTACATCTTCCTACTGCTTTACTTACTGAGCATTGAAATGGAGTCTGGGTTTGCGATTTGGGAGGGCACAGGGTGGTTATTTGTTGAAGCTGTTGCAGAGAGGTAGAGACACCATTTCTGTTCTGTCATCTGCTGCAGGGGCAGGCTCAGTTGCCTGGTGGTTCCAGATAGCTAGGTTGAATGTAAGGAGGCCTCAGTGTAACAAATACTTTTGGGGGCATTCTAGGTTACTGCAGCCTGGATCCTGTTAGCACTGTTAATCACAAAGTCAGTAATTAAAGTCTTCATGGAACATGACACCCAATTATTGTTACAGGCAGTTTGATACTGTTTCCCAAGCACAGCTTGTCTGCTGCTTATTCATTTTATAATGGGTTTGTCTGTGCTGTGAGATTAAGAGATTTTTAGCATTCCTCTAGCTATTCTGAATGTGACAGTGATGCTTTTCCAGTCAGCATGATCAGTAGTAAGCTGAGCTTAATTCTACTGATGTGTGCCACTCCTATAATGATTCAGCATCTGTCTTTAAGAATTTGGCTTTTCCTGGTGTTGACTGTGGCTATTTGTTGCGTGTGTATTATATTGCACTGTGGTGGACAGCTCTTCTAGATCCCTGTCTGCTCAGGACAGTTAGTAGAGACTAGGTATGATTGCACCTGTAGTCCCCTAAGAAGACTTTCCACTTCAGTGCTATCCATCGTGTCCCACCCTGGAAAAAGGATTTTCAGTTTCCTTGAACTGGTGCCAATCTCTCCAATACCAGTGCTATAGCAGTGCATGAAAACATGCTCCATTCAAAGAGCCAATGTAAGAGGTGATCCCTGTGAAAGGACATTTCAAATACTGGCATTATTGTTGAAGCTTTTGTGCATAAGAGCCAAAAGTCAGGCAGTGGACCAGCAAGCCAGATTCACATCACAGGTTATCTGATATCTGCTTCTTGCTGGACCAAACATGGTATAACGGGAAGACAACAGGTCAATAAATTACCCTTTCAGCAAAAGCACTCTGTTTCTAGCAGCCTCAACAACTATGGTTTCTGAAAGCAATATCTTTTGAGAAACCAAAGTGGCAGTGTTTGGCCAGGAATGTCCATTTGTTTGTAGTTAGACTTCCATTTGGAATTATGAATGCAACTGTTCTTAATGTTAATTGAAGCTATAACACAACAATTGTCTTTGTAACACAGCAATTATAATGATATTTGATTAGCATTTATTCCTCCCTTATCTTCTCTTCTACTCCCCACTGATGTTGCAGTTCCTTTCAGACAGCCCAATCTTCTGAAATCACTGGTCTTACACAGCTCTGCATGTATCATTATTGTGATAATGGCATGCTCATGCGTTCTCAGCAATAATCGAGACTCCTCATTGAGAGAAATTACAAGGCCTCTGACACTTGGACTGCCTCATAAAACAGCAGTGCAAGGCTTATTGTCACTTAATTTTAATAAAAGAAATTAATCCAGACCCTAAACTAACCCAACTCTCTGTTGGAGCAGTAGGGTCTCTACTTCATAACTTCCCTTCTCTGTGGGCTGATGGGGCTTTTAAGAGATCTGTTAATGCACACAAGCACTAATTGTCTTATTTCTTCCTTTCTTGTCTCAGGATGGCAGCACAGCACTTTCGATAGCCCTGGAAGCTGGACATAAGGACATAGCTGTTCTCCTTTACGCTCATGTCAACTTCTCCAAAACCCAGTCACCGGTTAGTACACAACTTCCTGCAGTTTATGTTTTAACCTGCTGCTCCTGAACATAATAGTAAAACATAAACAAAAAATAAACCCTCCAGCAGCTGTACAGCAGTACAGCATGTGAAATTTTGAGTTATTCACCAGATGATTTTTATGGTGGTAAATGAAAATGTACATTTTTAAAGACAGGTCACTGCAGCAGGCTGAACCCAGGCTGAAGGATACCTCCTCCTCCCCTTTATCTGGGGATATATATAGCTCACTAGTAGGGTTCACTGACTGGCTGTTGTGCAGAGGTGATGTTGCATCACTGTAAGGCTAATGATTGACCTGGTCGCCAAAACAGCTGTTTCTGGAGGTAAAGCTGTCTTAGGTATTCTGGCAACTATCCACCTGCTCTCCAAGCCCTGAATCACTCTCCTGATGAACTGCTGATGAACGTTTCACTGTCTAAACAACATGCAGTCTCAGTAAGTAGGCTGTATGATAGCTGGTACTGTTCGTCCTAAAAAGAGAAAAAGAAAGCAAGCAAGCTTAATCTGCGCAATTAAAGGCAAGGTATTGAACAGAGTGCTTGTGAGTGTTCTCATTTGGCTGGCTGAAATAATTTCCCTTTGATTAATTGTTCGTTCCTCTTTTCTAGGGCACACCTAGGCTTAGCAGAAGGACATCTCCTGGTCCCACCCACAGAGCCACTTTTGAGTAGTAGTGCATGAATATCTGTAAAAATCTCTTTGCCACCTTTAAGCTGCTAAATGTTACTGTTTTACTGAGACAGATACTGAATGTAATTGTCTTGTGCCTGAACTCACCAGCAAAGTGAAAGCAGAGATCTAGTGCTAAAGGTAGAAAACTGTAAACTTGAAGCAAGCATATAGTTAAGTAGTGCTCAGCTGAGGACCTTAGCCAGAACTGTTCTTTTGCTCACCTACTTGTCTTTCTATACACTGGCATCAATCCTGGTTTTCTTTGCTATAGATTATCCTTTCCTATGTTATGTGCAGCCTAATATTTCTAAAGCTATCCATGCAGGGGTGTCCTGGTGGCTTGTTTTTAATCATTCTAAAATGTATTTACTGTGCCTAGATGTTATTACAGTACCCTGTTCATAAATTTCATTCCAACATGATATTGATGTTTTCAGTTACTTCAAAATTCAGAAGTTGCAGTTGCTTATGTAGTCAGCTCCATGGATCTTGAGCTGGTGGGTGAGTGGGTAGGTGTTGGGGATTGCGCCTTTCGTCAGGTCTGAAGTTCACTAAATAAGTTGTTGCTAATTGGGGATAATGTATAACTTTTTATATGAAAGAAACTAGTATCTATAAAATTAACTAGCACAGTATTTTCAACATTTTATATTCCTTAATAATTAAAAGCTACATGAAGAATTACATGTCCTGTTACCATATTTTTATTAATTGTGTCTATAAGCTCCATACATGTTTATTGGAGAGTAAAATTAGAGGTACCAGCTGTATATTCCCCTTGAGTGGAATTGAGCATAGTTCTTGGTGTGTATTTATGGAATGCTATTACCTTGTCACATTCACTTTAGTCATGTGTATTGAAATGTTTGAAGTGCCTTAGACTCTTGCCATATTTTCAGAATAAAATTTCATTATGCTGTTTTACTCCTCTCCTGTTTTACATGTGATTTGTCATCATCCAAAATGCTGCACATTACAACTGCAGCAGCAAAAGGAGGTAGATTGGTAAGTCAAGAGAAAGGAGGACTGGATAGTTCAGCCCTTGGGGGCTGTTGGTAAGAGCAGCATCAGTGCCCAAACTAGCTTTTTCCTGGTGACTGTCAGAGTAAAAAGCTTTGCTCAATATGATCTGCCTTGGCTGGTCTTGCACATGCTGCAAAGGTTGGACCTTTTGCTGTTTGGGAGAGAAGTGGATTCTCTCTTGGCCTTGGGGATCAAGGGAAGGCACCAAAGGACAGTGTTCAAGCAGCTTGCTTGAACTGCAGAGTAGTTACCAACTGCAATAAAAACCTTTGAGCTTTATCTTCCAAACAATCATGGCAGCTTGGTGAAGGGAATGCTTTTTACATGGCGTTAGAGCAAGTCCTAAGCTAATCCATATCCTTGTCAGTTCAGATCTACCAGATGAGACAAACATACCACAGTGCCTTCCTTCAAGGGACCAAAACACTTCTGTTCTTCTGTGTCCTTTTTCATTCCCTCCCTAAGTTCTTATCAAGCAGTTTTTCCTACATAGTCCCTTTGAAATAGGGGCCCACTGAAGCCATCCCCGTCCCACTTGGCCTACATGGACTTGGTGGCTTGTACTGCATGAAGTTTCTGTGAGCTCTGCCAGTGCTTGGGAGTGTCCCAAAGCAAATGGCAGGTGGGACATGTCTTAGCATAGCAGTTGCACACAAGCATTCCCCCACCTTGAGGTCAAAGAGCCGTGGCTGATATTTTTCAGGTAGGTGTACAGTACCCTGTCTCTCCCTCCACAAGTCAATGGGAGCCCTGGGTGCACTGGAAGTCCTGGGCACAGAGCTATCACAGAAGGGTTTAAAAAATGGTCCAGTGGTTAAGGTGACTAATGACACAAGGAGAGTCATGTACAGATACACTTTAATACCTTTTTTTTTTTCCCCTCCCCCCTATAAAGAATTGGTATATCAGAAACCAACTAATTAGGGGTTTCATTTTCTAAGTGATTGCAATGCTTTCTAACAGCCCTCACTGGCAGAATTCTGGGAAGGAATCTGACGTTTCTAACACTGCGCAGGAGTCAGGTTATGCACCTCAGAGTTCCTGGATTTATTTAGGTGCTGTTTTCCTGGTAAGCAAAAGGATTGACCCAGAACTCACCTCCTAGAGCTTTACAAACTGTTAGATGAAGCTGTGGACTCTGCATTTTTGTGCAAGGTTCAGTTTCTTCCTGAAAGCTCATTGTCTTGGGTTAAAATGTCCAAGCAAAGTGCCCCCAGTTTTAGCTGTATGGTGAACTAGGGCATCATGGTATGCCATGTCAGCAATATTGCCGAAAGCAACCAAAACTTTGCATGTGATGGTGGATATAGTTGAAAAGTAGAGAATAAACTTTACTACTCTACCAAAGTCATCCAATGTCATTTCTGGCCTAAAATCCTATTAAGAGTAGATATAATGGATTGAGCCATTGGGGGTGGGAGGGTGGGGAGGAAGTAATAGAAAAAAATAGAGAAGGAAAAAAAAAAGAAAGAAGAATAACTTCCCTTAGCATTTTGTTCTCTTGGCCTTCCTGTCTCCAAGAGGTTGACACCTGAAGCAGTTCATACATTGGAAATCAGGCCCTTCCCTAGGAAATGGTTGAGGTTTCAAAAGCATTTGTATCCACTGACAGCCTCTGCAAGCCAAGTTTAATTCCACCTGCTAATGCTGAATAGCATTTATCACAGGTGCTGGGATTAAGGGGTATATATACCACGCATACCAGCTCTGAACTGAGCTCCCCCTACACACTCTCCCTGGCATTCGGTTCAGATCAGATGATGATTGACTCAGTATGTTCAAGCAGGTGAATGTTGTCATCACCTTTGAACTCTGACTGTCAGTGAATATATAAAAGCTCTGGCACCTTTTCAAGACTGTAAAATATGACACTGTCTTTTTCCAGTTACACTGTCATACATTAAGTGAAGCTGCCACTTAGAATCACCTTAAGAGATAAAAGGCGAGTGTTACTGGTAACCCGTGTGGCATGTTTTAAAATGATGGAAATTAGCCAACACAATATTGATCTAAATAGCAATGACTGAAGAAGTCATTTTTGCAAGATGTACTTTCAGAGGTTTCATCTTGATGCAGCTGGAAGAACTCAAGTTATGCTAGATACAGCTTTTATATCTGTTTCTCCTGGTGTTTCATACTTCTGTCTGCGAAGTCTGGCTGCAAAGTCCAGTTCAGCCGTGGTGTGAATAATGCAAGCCTTGGCATCAATCCCTGACACACAGGACTGGCTCTGCTTGCTGGAATGGAAGCCACCCAAAGGTTACAGACATCCTCCTGCCTTTGAAAGCAGAGCTGGCCAAAACAGTGCTCATGCTCTTACTGCAGCTACAAGCAGTGCTCTTCAGTGGGCTCTGTGTGCATGCAGGTCTGTAAACTTCATCCCTTCCTGTTCCTGTGTCTGCCTCCAGGTCCATCAACTGCAAGCTTAACTACAAGCATCTCCCACTAAAAAGAGATGCTTTCAGATGTTCAATAAACATGTGGATGCTTGGGGCTGCCACTGAGAGCCCAATCTGGGACAAGCGACTGAGGTAGGAGGTTAAGGAGCAACGCTGGAAGACACACAAGTTGGATTTTGCATTAAGCACTCATAGAAATAGCCACCACGAGATTGGAGGAAAGGGGTACCCAGATTCTGGTTTGTTTCATATTTCAGTTGGGAGCTGCAGAAGTGTTAGCCTTCATCACTCACAGCCCAGTGCAGTGCCTAGGGAAGTCAATTAAAAAATTCCTGCCCATTTCACTTTGGCTGTTGTGTCTGTGTGCGTGCACACACTGAACAGAAGTGCCACACAAACCCAATACAACAAATCAGTGCTCCAAAACCTCTGATGTAAGTGTTCTGCTTCCTTAATGATGCACACTTCAAGCTTTTCCTGTTAAAAGAAGAAGATAAGCATGTTTCCATGCACCCGCACCACGTACAATCCCGAAAGAGATCTCAGGAAATATACTGTCAGGGAAAGTGGGAGCTTTTAGGCATTTAGTACCTGCTGTGCACACTTCAGCTTTAGGGGCCTTAAAGGGAGCGGCGAGGAGGGCACAGGAGGCAAGCTTGATGCACATTCTTTTTCCCCCTACTATTCTACTCACCTGTGCTTGCTTCCTTCCTCCACTCTGTGCCTCTGAGTGAATGGTAGTCCTTCCCCTTGGCCAGTTCTCACTGGGAACTGTGTCTGTGTATTTTCTATTTGGTTAGCCAGCACAGCCAGCACCAGCAAAGATAAATTGCCTTTTAAATAACTCTTGCTATACAAAACTGCCCTTCAAAGACCTCTACAGTAGAGGCCTGTAAACAAAGGCATCATTATACTCTTAGCAGAGTATTATTAAATACATTCAGCTATGATTTGCAGATGTCAATCTCCATGTCCTCTAAACACCACTACTGCCATTTGCAGGATTATGATGTAAGGGGTTAACATTTTTTCAAAGCAGTGCATGTGCTTTTGTATGATCTGAATGGAAGTAGCAAAGAGATATTTCTGGAAGATATACTGGTAATTTTTTTCTTCAGCTTTTCACTTCATGGCGTTAGCTCCTGTTGCAGAAACAGACCTTGCTTGAAAGGGTAGTTTATGCTGCCCCAGTAATACTGTCCTTCTTCATTCAGCCACATTAATGTCACAGAGATGGAGATACGCCGTTTCATTTGCATACCATGGTGAAGAGGCAGATTAATAAACATCCTTCTCTACTTCCTGGCCACGGTATCACACCTTTCTTTGAGGCATGAAAAGCCACCTTCTGTCTCTGGCAGTCATCTGCAGTGCCCCTGCATTGCTCTTGGGCATTTTCTGAGGCCGGAAGAGCAACTCCTCTCCAGTCCTAAGGGTGAGTGGTACTTAGAGCCAGCCAGTTACAACCCCTTAGTAGTGGGGAGGTGTGAGCTGGCAAGGGCTGGCCCAGGAAAAGGCCTCCCCCTCAGTGTGCACTCATTCTTGCAAATTTATCACGAGAATTTTCCAGCCCAACCACATATACCTGCTCAGGAGCCCTTTATTGTGGTGGTTTAATCTGCATCACTGGCCTAGCAGGAGGAGCAAGGAGCATGTCAATTTCTTCTGCAGTGTTTGCTGATCTGGGAGAAGTGAGTGGAACAGTTGTACAAAGAGATTGAGAGACATCAGAAACACAATATGGTAATAAAATGAGATTTGGTTTAGGAAAATCTGACAGAAACAACGGGAGAAAAATAATACATGTTTGTGGGAGTGAAAGTTAGAAATCTGTAACACTGAAAGGAGAAGTTGCCAGAGAGTGAGTAAACAAGAGATGGTGGTGCAAGGAGAGCAAAAACAGATCAGGGCTGTCAGCGTGATGAGAGCAAAAATGGTCTGCGCACTTTTTTGTTCACTTCAGATGGATGAGAGAGGCACTCAAAACTGGAAGATGTAATACAGCTTGACACCACTGACAGTCAGTGTGTCCTCAGGCACACAGCTCCAAAGGCTGCCACCATCAACCCAGTAAAGCAACATCTGTTAACAAGTTGGAAGTTGAAAATAGTAAGTTTAAAAGGATAGGTTTGTTTTGCTAAGAGACAAATCCTGTAAATAAGCAAAACATGCCACAGTATGTGGCAAATAATAAGCCACGCAGATAATTTGCAAAGGGGCAGAAAAAGAAAAGAGATACAGCTGGAGGTGAGAAAATTCTCCAGGTTAGTTTTGCAGAAAACGAGTTTTAGTTCTTGGGAAGCCTGGGTGAGTTTTTGAGTGACTATGAGTTGGTCACCATC